CCATCTCAACAATGGCAGCCAGCGTGCTGGCTTACCCACTTCAACTACAGCCAGCAAGCTGGCTTCCACGATCTCCGCAGAGGGTTGCGCGGGCAGCCGGCAAATCGCACTCTCGCCTGCATTTCGCGCACTCGACACGCACGATCTCCGCAGAGGGTTGCGCGCGCAGCCGGCAAATCGCACTCTCGCCTGCATTTCGCGCACTCGACACGCACGATCTCCGCAGAGGGTTGCGCGCGGACCGGACAAATCGCACTCTCGCCTGCATTTCGCGCACTCGACGCGCACGATCTCCGCAGAGGGTTGCGCGCGGACCGGACAAATCGCACTCTCGCCTGCATTTCGCGCACTCGACACGCACGATCTCCGCAGAGGGTTGCACTTTCGGTTGATGCTGTTCGTCCCGCACTCCGCCTTTAAGAGAGAATTTATAAAGTGGGGAAATGTTTTTTCATTAGGACATCTCCCGTGCTAGTTTTCCATACTCACACTTGCCTACTCATTGCATGCTTGCATAGTCATTGCATGCTTGCATACTCACCCTTGCATATCATGCTTGCATGCTTACACTTGCATACTTTGACACTGGCATACTTCGCACTTGGATGCTTTCGCTCTTCCAGTGTGTGTGTGTGTAAGTGTGAGTGTCGAAGTGTAAGTGTCGAAGTGTCAGTGTTCAAAGGATTTTCCGGAAGAACCCTTCGCAATGCTTTCGGGAAAAACAATTTTCCAGAGGTCTTTGAACTTGGGGCTTCTGCAGAAAGGGTTCTGAAATATTGTTTTTTCAATTCTTTTTGTTTTTTGGAGACCCAAGATTTCAGAGAGAGAGAGAGAGAGAGAGTGGCTACGTAGTGAGGCGCCGGCCGGGGCCGCGTGGCTCAGTACAGAAGGTTGCCCACGGATGTGGCCACTTTCAGCCGCGCGGAGTTTCCGGGCGTTTTAGTTTATGCTGCCGGCGGTGGGGAGGCACACTCCGCTGAGGAGGCCGAGTGGGAGCACGCAATGGCCAGGACTTGCAGCCGCGTCGCTGCGGGGATGCGGGCGTTCCACGCTTGGTGGGATTCCCTACAGCGCGGCGTGGAGCTGATGTTGGCAGAAGCACGGCGCGAGGGTGTGGAGGCGCGCCAGCCTTTTTCACAAAGCTTTGGCCCGAACCGGCGGCTGCGCAATGAGTGCAGTGGCAGTGGCGCGCAGCAGGAAGCGTGCTCGCAGGCTGCCTTCAACGTCGTGTGTGTGGGTGCAACCAGTGGGGGCCAGCGGCTGTCAGCCTCACCACACCTCCAAGGAGGGGCTGCGCGAGCAGCTTTTGGCCTGGCTGCGCGTTGGCCCTGGCCCCTTGACGGGGAAAAGCATCTTTCAGGTGCTTCGGCGGGCGCTTCTGTTTCAACCTTTTCACGCGGCTGCTGCCCGGACGCGGCGCGCGGAGGAGCATTTTGGTTTCACTTCCACGGGCGCTCGGATGTGATTGAATTACGTTCACATGAATCATCCGAGCCAGCGCGCCACTTTTCTGCGCAGCTCGTCCACTTTCGTCGGGCGCTGCTGTCGCAGATGCGCATCCTAGCGGGGGACTCGCGCGCGCTGTGCTGCCTGCCCTGGCCTCTTTCGAGAGTCGATCAAACCTTTTTTGTTTTTCGTTTTGTGAGGTTTGGAAAGTCCTAGCCTTGGCAACCGGCAATGTCCGGTATGAATTGGACTACGGAACTGTTTGACCAACGCGCACGGAACCCTCTTTTCCGGGAATTTTTCAGGTTTTTTCCGGATTTTTTTCGCGTTTTTTTTCACCTACTGCTTTTGCTTCTGCTTTTGCTTTTTGCTTCTGCTTTTAGCTTTTTGCTTTTGGCCTTTGCTTCTGCATTTGCTTTTGCTTTTTGCTTTTCCTTCTGCTTTTGCTTTTTGCATCTGCCTTGCTTTTGCTTCTGCTGTTGCTTCCGCTGACTATCTTCTTTGCATTGACGCTGCCACAAAGTTGGCTGATAAGACCTTCACCTTGAGCTTTGACACCCAATTACACCAATCAAGAAACGAAGCAGCCCAGCGCTGTCTATATTTGATTTGAGTTGCGGGGGAGGCGCTGCGCCCTCCCCTGCTTTTTTAAATTGTTGCCACTACCGTCCACCGCCCCCCTACTATTTGAAATACCTCTATCACTCGGACCACCCCGCTACGAGTCTTACCACTTACCGCAACTACTATTTTCTTTGCGTTGACGCTGCGACAAAGGTGGATTTCTACTTTGCTTAGCGCAAAGAAACCCGAAACCACTGAAACCCAAAGACAACCGCAGAAAAGTCCCTATTACAGTTCCTCTCTCCTCCTACTGAAAGGCATCGTTAAGTGGGATGCCTTTTCCGGAAGAAGGCCTAAAGAAACCCTAAGGACAAGAAACCGAGCCCAAAGAAACCTGAAACCAGTGAAGCTAAAGACAACCGCAAAGAAGTCCCTAGTAAGTGGAATACCTTTGTCACTGTCACGCTGGCTTTGGTGCTTCGTCCCCTGCCCTTTCTGCTGCTCCTAGTGCTTGTAAAGCACTCCCAGCAGAAGCAAAAGCAAAAACAGTAGGGGAAAAACGTGAACCCCCCCCGGAAAAATCTGAACAAAATCCCCGGAAACATGTCAATCCACGCACACCTGACGCTCCACTCAGGAATGGCTGTTTGGTTCGCGTGAACTGAGATCCGTCGCTCCCTGCCCGGGTGTGACGATACCAAGCAATTTCGCAAGTGGCTCTTGAAGGTGTACAGGGAGTCGGAGCAGCCTGTGCACACCGCGGTGTGAAAACTGACTTTGCTAGCTGTCGAATGCTGTCGACTTTAGCGATATTCAGCATAATTCAGCCATGGTTGCGTGTCAGCTCGTCTGCGCAGACTCAGCTCGTTTCGTCTCATTTGCAGATGACTGCATGACTGCAGAGAATGTTTGTTTCGCAGACATATGTTTAGGGGTCAATGTGGCGCTGGGATTCGCAGCGCAAGGCAACGCACGGAAACTAGAACTGCGCGCAAAAAGCAGCTGCGCTGCACATTCACTTGCGTTGTGGAAATTCAGGAATTTTCAGGACATTGCAAGGCAATGTAACAGAGGTCAAGCATACCCTGGAACACTTTGCTAAACGATGCTAAACGTTGAAGTATCCTGGAATAGTTGTAGTTGTTGCATAAAAATATTCCAGGACGTTTGAACCTCTTGGAATAATTGTTGCTATGAAGCAACAACCCCTCAGGAATAACAAAAGGTCCTGCAGGTATCCACGGTATAGGGTATTCAAGGGCAGCAGACTGCAACGCCGAAACTATCAGGCTGGGCACCTTGAGTGGTGAAGAACAGAAGGAGTTGATCCCGCCGCAGAGCCTTCACGTGGCAGTGATCTCTGGCCGCCGCGCTGGTTGTGAGCGGGGCCGCGTGGACATCAAGAGATTGGAGCAGTCGTTGAGATTGCAGGACTGCGCGCCCAAGTGGTACGTGGACCAGGCATCGCTCGAAGACTATAAAGGGCTTGGCTCGGGTGCAGTTGTTGGCGGGATCCTGACAGCTGCTCGCAACATGGCGCTGAACATATATAGTACTAACTGCTACGACCCTCCGCCCAAAAAAGATTGGAAGCAATTGCACCGCAGCCACGCGGTGCTCCTTGGTTGGCAGTGCCCAGTTCCTCCTGGCAAAGATGCGGGCGGTGGGCGCAAGACTGGGTGGCGCACACCCTGGTATGTGGACAGTCGCGGGTGCTTCGCATGAAGCCATTGGGTTTTCACAAAGTGTTCGAGTTTTGGGGGGCGGTTGACTGATCCAGGAAATCATGATTGTGAGTTGTATTTGTAAGGAAGGTTTGAAACCTGTAGGTCTTTCTGTAACTGTTACTGACGCAGGTAGAATGCGCGAATCATGGTGTGTGCTCAGGTCTTTGCACTTCATCATGGCTGGTTTCTTTGTGGTGGACTGTCTCAATGACGCTGGAATGAACAAAAGATTTGCGTTCAGATTTCTGCACTATAGACGTAATTAGGTTGGCGTAGGTCTCATAGGTTGTTGCGAGCGTATCTTCAGATGATATTGTTTCTTTTCCCTTGGTCTTCGGGGCTACGTGGCTGAGAATACGCGTCGATTCGTCCAACGCTCTGGCTGAGATTGTGAAAAGCACACGCCGGATCTTCCACTTGCTCGCTTTTGCCACCAACAGGGCACCACGTACGTCGTGATGCCAAGCTCAGCGTGCGCCTCGCGCGCAACTGACCCACGTTGCCACATGTCTGCCAACATCCTCGTTCACTCAGCTTCTTGGACGCGATATGACACGTTTGTCTTGAAGTCATCCTTGTCAGGGCGCCCTGCTGCGTATTGCTGCGTCTCCTGAGAAGACCTGGCATAGACTTCCTTCCGACCATCTTGACTTGCAGTCCGTCGCCGCTTCGAAGACTTCATCGGAGCCTTCCAGGAAAGAATCACTTCGGATTTCTGGTTGTTTCTGGACGCATTCTTCGTGAAGACGCCCAGGCAATTCTGCATCAGGAACTCCATCAAAAGCGCTCTCCTTCTGCTGACGGTCGCTGGAGCAGCCGCCAGACTGGTAGCGCCGCGCCTCAACATGAAGCCGATTGCAACGAAGCGCCTGCGTTTGTTCGTCGCATTGCGCTCACAGGTCAAGTCGTAGTCATGCTTGAGAGGCAAGGATGGATCCGGGTAAATGGAACCTGCCTCCTGCTTGCTCTTCTCACGTGGCGCTCCCAGTGCAGTGGCTATGGCCATTTTCATCCATTTTCCAAGCTGGGGCCGCGTCCCTCCCATCAGTTCCACGACAAGACGATGGCCCCGATCATGGTGCGGTGGCTTTGTTGAAGAAACGGCAGCAAAGGCCTCTCGCCAGCAGCGCGCATTGACCACTGGCCAGGTCATGGGCATGCGCAAAAGACATTGTGGCCTAGGGTTTGCTTGATGACTTGCTGGCCGCCAGTTTCAATGAAAAAGTGCGCTCGCTGATTTGCATGGCTTGCGTGCTAGTTTCAGCCATGTTGGCGAAGCATGTTTTCTCCTATAGTACTATAGAACCATCGAGCACCCACATGTTCAGCAACCACGACAAGCAGTTCAAGCAGTTACAAACCGCCTTATCTTAATATACAAGCTAATTTAACCGCAGAAGCAACTCAACAGCTTTTCCAATGCTAGAAACAATGTTAGAAGCAACTAAACAACTTCAGAAACAGATTGACACACTTAGAAACAATGGCACAATTTTAGAAGCAACTTGAAAGCAATAAAGCAATTTTAGAAGCAACTTTAGAACCACATAAACAGTTTGGAAACAATTTTCGATCAATTGGACAACTTTAGAAACAACCTAAGAATGTTAGAGGTGTGCAGGGGATGCATGGAACCTCAGAGGTTTGAAACACACTCAACGTGTAGATCGTGTACTCACTGTCAACTGCAGGATGGCAAGGCAGAGGGCCGTGTTGACATTTTGCAGAACGACATGACCCGCGCCGGTGTCCAAGAATAAATGAGGATGACAAGCTGGCGGGTTGTATCGAAACAAAGTCAGATTTGACCTCACACGAGCAACTTCCGAAACTGAGGATGACAGCATTTGGCGACATAGCACAGAAACTGTTCAAATTTTTCGTCCTTTGTGGAGGGCAGAAACTCAGAAGAAAGGTGGGGAAATTTTAGTAAGGTCTGCTGTCACAAACTTTGGGCCGAAAAAACAGTAGGTCCCCGATTTCCTCAAACAAACAAATTTTGATGGATGAATCAACATGTATGGTAGTTTTTTCATTTATCAATATTGTTTTCTATGACATATATATGTATATATAAAACGATCGTGTACATTTACTATACGCGTGTTTCCATCACTTGTTCTTCCGGTGCTCCCAGGCAGTGCTGCACAAGGCAGGTGAGTATGGTTTCTCCTCGGCAGAAACCTCAGAGCCTCAGTTTTCCGAGAACCCTTCTCAATTTTTTCAGCATCAGAAGCTGAATCTTTCCAAAGCCGAGGCCAGCACGGAGGATTCTGTGACCGAGGGCAAATTTGACCATGCAACTGCCACGCAGCTCGGGCAGCAATGGGAACGTTGTGAACACTTTGATGTTGGAAGTCATTTAGTGCATTTTTGTTTGCACCTTTCTAGGTCTTAGGTGATATTGTGCTTCTGGGACTGGCCCACTTGCGTGCAGGTTCCATCTGCTAGCTCAGCAGGTAGTTCGCGCAAGAGCCATGACCTCTGCAGATCAATGTGAGAGGGAACAGGTTGGGCACATGTAGAAACATTTTCTAGCCAGGGGGTTTCGACTGTAAGGAGAGCTTAAGAGTAGCTAGTAGAAGCCACCAAGCTGATTATATAAGTAGCTACCTAGGCTAGAAGTACACGCTCTTTGCTCAGGCTTCTTCAAAGAAGCTCCCCCTACCTGAGGGTGGGGGAGAGCTTCCTTGAACTCCTCGCATGATTTCCCTTTACCGAAACTTAACCTTACCTTGCTTCATCATTTCATGTCCCAAGGCCCAGAACATGCAGCTCAACGTCGAATCAAGCTCCGGTCAGCTGCTGAGCACCCCCAAACACACCAGTGGGTTGCAGGTGTTGGAAAAAGAAATCCCGTTCATGGGCTTAACCGCTGAAGGTGTCCACTGGCAGTAAACAGTACTAGTGTCATAGTACAAAGGCAAGGACAAGGCCTGGGGCAAGGCCTGCGGATCGAATCAGGTGACCCGCGTCCTCACGCTGATGATGACTGCGAGGCTCACGAGGAGCTTTTTGGAACACACGCGGCACTGAAGATTGTGCGAATCATCTTGTTTGTCCGAACATGTCGCCAGGACCTCGATGGCGGGACGGATGACGTGTCAACATTAATTCAAGCAGCGCCGTGCTGAAGAGCACTTTTTGCTGGAAAGGAGGTGTTGCAGAAGGACATGAATGATGTTGGAATGACCCAGAGTAGTTTGTCGAAGAACTCTAACAAGACACAAGAACTCTCTATTGAGACTCTTTTCTTGTCCTGTGTCGGGCTGGGGCACGACGGGACATGCTCAACTCCCTCCTTTCCTATCGGTTGTTAGTGTCCACTTCCTGATTGTTGTACCACCTTTAGCTCTTAGGGCCAGCGACACGGTCTGCATAGCAGTCGTTCGTATGCGAATGTTTGGGTGGTTCCTGGTTGTTCCATCCGAAGAGGCGACGAGAATCAACGACACCGTTTGAAAACCAATGTGCACTTTGACTTGTGATGAATCTTACAAGCCACACAGCTACAATAAGCCTTTGACATGAAATCACCAGGAACTGTGTTTGCGCCTCCACTCGGAATCGACCACCCAGGCCTATGAAAGGCCCGCCCTAGGCGGATGGTCAAATAGGAATCGATTCACGATTCAACGCGTCAGAGCGGATGCCTTGCCAAAGGCAAAGTGTAAGTGTCATAGCACGATCGCGTGGCAGCGCTGCCGCGCTGTCACTCACGGTCACTCACGGTCACGTCACCGGGACGACGAGCAGAAGACGACTCGACGACTGCTGTGACTTGCTGTTCACATGAGGTCACTAGGGATTGATGGGTTACTTGATGTCAGTGATTCGATCTCTTTTTTGCAGTCGCAAGAACTTTTTGATCTCCTCAAAAAGGAATAGGAGTAAATATAAATTGACTTACGTATATAATTGTCCTGCCAACTGAAAGTTGAGGAGGAGGAACTACTTGCACTTTACCCTGTAGGATCCCTACTTAAAGATTTGTGTGCAATCTTTTTCTGCATCGCCCTAGTTCTCAGCGGAAGACGAACGACCTTTTGACTTCCTCAAACAGCGTTGCGGAGTCTGTCTCGGTGAAGGAGCCTTTGGGAAAATTGATCTGAGACTTTCTAATGAAAAGGCTCCGTCATGCGCAGGTGTGACAATCAGAGATGTATTATGACTCATGATCTCATATATATATATATAGTTAAGTTATTTTTATATATTCACTCACTTTTGCTGGGAGGGTTTGGGAGATTCTGGAGGGTGGGTTTCATGATTTCAGCAGAGAGAGAGAGAGAGAGATTGTCATTATACTTCCTGGCTCGAAGGCAACCGCACCATGAGCTAATGATCACGAAGAATCAAGCATATGGATGGATGAAAGATCTTAAGGAGCACTAGACTTGACCAAACTTCCACGTTTTGACCAAACCAGCGGATTCTAAAAGGATCTAATAGGCTAATATAGGCTATAGGTCTCAAATCTGAACATCAAGGATGGGCATCCGACTCGTGCCATTCAAACAGCCCCTCCGTGGCCATTGGAACCTCGGATGGAGCCAGTGGCGGGGCCCTGTGGGCCGTGCGGGCCATGCCTTCAGAGCTCCTATGGCTTTCATCAGGACCAATCCTCACAGCGGCGCAAAAGCAGGAAAAAAGGCACAAATAACTACATGACTACATAAGTCTACATAGAACATCATAGAACATTTCAATATGTAGAGGATATGAAACCAACCACATCAAGCATCAGACAACGCTGGAACGCTGGGCTTGCTTGTGACAAGAGAGCATCGGAAAGGAGCTTCTTCTTGTTCGCTTGTTCATCTGGCTTAAAACAGGATCCTGCCTACTGTCCTCGGACTCCGAAAGAACGGGTGACGACCTCGGGGACGAAACGAGGACGTGAAGAACGTTTTCCATGTCGGATCCTTCGGTCGTCGGTCGGGCCTTTCAGGTTCAGAAAGTTGCAGAAGTTTTTGTTCATCTGGAGGACGATGTGCTGAACCAAGTTCACATTTTATGGCACAAGCATGCACAAACTGTGCACAGGTCAGGAAAGCATCACTTGAGTTGGATGAGCTACTGCCCATTTTTTGCTTCCACCGTTTCTTCTCAGAAAGATTCAGAAAGATCAGCTAGAGAGGCTCGGGTGCTGGTGTGCCGACGACGCATTTTCGCGAATCGGGTGATCCGACTTTGGGTGGAGGACGGCCGAATCAGTTTGTTCTGTCGTTTTCCTTTCAGTTTTTGATGTCCAAATTCCAAATCAGTGCTGATGCGAGTCCTGCGGGAAGACCCTCATGCGATTTCCGTGATAGCCATGTTTGGAGGATTCTCCCGAGCTTTGGGGCATCAATATTTGTGCACATGATGAGGCCATCCGATTGCAGTCCTTTTTCAGAGCATTGAAATGCGCACCCTTCTTTGAGTATAAACATGTATAAACTAAGCTGAAATGTATAAAATATGTATAAACATGTACCGTACTGTAGAAAAGGAACACTGAAGGAAGACGTTTGCTTTGTCTCTCCTCGACTGGAGACATTGTTCAGTCTGGTGAGGCGTTCGGAGGATCTGGTCGCTTATTCCTCTCGGATGAGCAGCTGACTGGGCCTCAGCAAGATGTTTGTGGTGAAACAAAAACATAAAATCCAAGTTCAATGGTCACAGTCTGTAATTATGGTCTTCTACGAACGGAGTATCCAGAGTCAGTGCGGGTCATCCCACAACTACAGTAGGACCCTGCTTGGGGTGGTGGCCAAACTACTGTAGTGCTCCAATCTCGCGTCTTCTTCCATCTCCCAATGCCGAGTAGCCCAGAGCAGTCCAGAGTTGCTTGAACACGTGTAAAGTAGGTGTGAACAGCTCAGCACAATGCACCAAAGCCTATAAGGAGAAGCTTATGGCACCATGGTCCACAGTACTCAGTACTCGTCCTTTGTACTCAGAAAAAGCAGTTTTGCACGTTTTAAGTCTAAAAGTTTAAAGTGTCCCAAAAGGTTTCTGTGACTTTGTAGAGGAGTAGCTGGCATCAGTGCCACTTGCTTGGATCTCGCAGGCGACATGCCTTCCGGCATTTTGCTCGGGGACGCCTTGGTCGTTCCGCCATGTTTTCGTCCATGGGAAGTAGACCTGGCCGGGCGACTTTACGGACTTGGGACCACCAATGTGGGCAACTAGCAGTGCTAGTATGTAAGCGTCAGGCAGCGTCAGGTGGTGTGAGGAGTTTCTAGTTGCTTTATGTTGCTTTTTCTTCTCCATGTCGCTGGTTGGACCTGTCTATGTGGCAGGTGGTTTTGGCGCTGACCTAGCAATGCAAGGCTGCTCAGTGCAGGACACACTGTGCAGAGATTGCTTAGACAAGCTGCAAAGAGCATCAAACCAACCCGTCCGAGGCATGGTATCACAGTTCAATTTGTTGAAGCAATGTGCGCCTCGAACATGTCTGGAGGAACACCCACCTATTTGCGTGAGCCATCTGATGGAGGCAGGGTACTTTCTTTGTCCTCTTTAAGCACAAAACGTCCTTCTAATTCCTTCCTTGAAGCCTTCCGAATTTGAGTTAATCAGGTGGCATTGACGGAGGAACTGGTTCGAGACCTAGCAGGGCCGTCCGCAGAACTGGTCGACCTTCACTTGAAGCACCCGTGGATGTTTCCCCAACAGAACCACCAAATCCTTTGATCTCCAGCAGCATTTTTCACTCTTGTCATGGCGCTCGGATTCTGGAGTTGACGGTGAGGTCGCAAGCCTCTTGGACGCTGTTTGCTTCGAGGTGGAACGTGTTACCATATTACCACTTGGAGTACGCATGGATACCCATGCTATGCATCCTGGGAACACGGTCGGTGTTGCGAAGCATTGTGATGTTGAATCATTTGAACAGTTGAACCTTGTAGAGCAACTAAACAACCACACCAGGGGGAATTATTTTTGACTGACTGAACGAGATCCTGGCGTTGATTCGTTGATTTTCCAGGTGAATGGCTTGGGTGATGAATGGCCATCCTGTCCCGATTGGCAATTCTTATTCTTGACAAAACAGGAACCAACATGTCAGATTGTGCTTTTATAGCAAGGAGCATGGAGAAACATGAGGAACCAATGATGGAGCGTCAGTGAGTTGCGAAAGGTTTATCTACCTTCCTGGCTTTGGCAAAGCAAGGGCTGAGGCAGTTTCGGGTGTTCTGTACTCGCGATTGAGGGAGGAAACCCTTCAAGACAAGTAAGCCTTGAACAAGAGGGGGCAAAGTGTAGACATGTGTAGACGAAGGTCCATCACACCTTCATGATCAAGCAATCCTGATGTCTATAAATTATGATTGATTGGTTGCGTCATTATCTATTCTATTCTTTGTAGTAGTAGATCAATTCACAGACTGAGCATTTCCGAACTTTGTTTGTTTCACTGTTCTTGATTGACGGGCCCTATTCTTCTTTTCGGTCAAAGATGTGTAAGATTCAGGGTTCTCCGTAATCCTGCCACATGTATTCGTGATGCAACTTGGTTTGATCCTGGTCATTCTCATATTCTGGGCATCGAGAGTTCTGTAAACGTTCAGCAAATTTGTATGACTGTTGGAATCCTAGTGTATTCGTATGTAGCATGCATGTCGACATTGCTTGATGCTCCATGTTCTGTTGCGTTTGAAAGTTCACATTCGCTCTCCGTTCATGTCTCGAGATTTGTTTTTGACAATGTGTTATCATCGCATGGGGATCTGATTCTTCTGCCGATCCTTTGCTTCACTTATATTCCTGCCACAAGCCCTGAAAGCTATTGTTTCTTGACATTTGGCTATGAAAAGGTCTCATTCTTTCTTGGTGTTGACCTTTGTGTTGAAAAAACACATTTGCAGGTCCCGCAGGGCCCGGCGCTCCGGGTGGCGAGCGCCACAAGCTCAGGCGACGAGCGACGAGCGCCCGAGGGGACGTTGCGGGCGCGAAGACACTCGGAGAACGGACAGCGGTGAAGCGAAGAGTAAGTCTTTGAGTCGATTTTCTGTTAGTTTTTGAGATTGAGAACGGAACACAATTCACATTCATTCTCCCCATGTTCTTCTCCATTTCACCGTTTTCTTGACACTCACTACAATAATACTATATTATATAGAGACCTGCAGTTTTCTCCTGAAGGCATTGGGAGGCGCAGACCCCAATCAGCTGGCCGATCGTTGCCTGGCCGTCCCCAGTCAGCTGGTGGAGTTCGTCAAGGCTGAGACGTGTGGGTGACACCACGGAAGACCTGCGAAGCAGTGGAATCATCAAACGACAGGGGCCTTTAAAGTCAAAGTATGCCAACACACCCAGCAGCTTTAGAGTTACGGTGCCTGAAAGGTGGTGGATGTCCAACTCGATGGATGCAAGCACAAGGTCAGAGACCTACTGTTATGGGGAGGATCAGCGAATCAGCGGATAGTCATGAAGGTCATGGTTGTTTGGCAGTGTCCATTGCGGCGAGCATGAGAAAGAGGATGCACCACCTGACTGTTTAATCGATTTTCTTAACGCTTTAAGGTCCTCCTCCGCCGTTGGGGAACCGGCTCACGTGGAAGTCTCAGCTTGCGAAGCATTAGGGCTTGACAGTTGATTTTTCCGCAGAAATCCTAAATCAACTTTGCTTTCTTCCCACTCAGACTCATCATCATAATACATCATACTTAACGCATCTCAATGCCTGGTTATGATTGAATGCTCTTCCTGAAGAGCTGGCAGACACCACGCCCGTTTGAGTGTGCAAATATCTTGCACACATCTCTGGAATGCGCACATGCATTTTTGTCAATGGGTGAGTACACAGCATGGATGCAATGATCATGTTACCAACGGTGCTGCAGTCGTACCATGGGGGCATTGGCCTGCAGCTCCAGGTCCCTAATGGATCAAGAGAGGGCACGAGGACATCACCCTCTTGGTGAGCCCATTACAGGCGTGGAGCTTGATTGCGCCTGAATAGATTGATTCTGATCGCATACAAGCACTCTCTTTGAGGTCCTCTTTGGCCCAAGCCGCCTGTAGAAGTCTGCTTCATGCTCCAAGTAGATCAATCTCCACCCCTCGTTGCCTCTTTGGATGCCTTTGAGAGGACCAGAAAGATCAACACTACCGTTTGCATGTATCTCTTTTTCGCACGTTATGTGCAGTATGCAATCGCGTCGAGAGATTTTTTGGACACTTACATCTTGGACATATCTGGCTCCAATGAAAAGGTGGGGCAGATTGAGTCTATGTGCGGAATTGCAGCTCTAATTGTCCTCTTGCCCTGTGGATTCTTGGCAGATCGTTGCAAGCGCTTAAGCCTTTTGCGGTGCTTGGCAATAGCCAAGGGACTACCAACAGTGATGGCATTCTTTGCAGTGCGAGAGAAGAACCTGGTAGCATTGCAAGTTTCAATGGTCCTCCTTGCTGTGGTGCCTTGACCTTCGGGTTCCGATTGGGGAATCAACTTGTTTCATGCCCGGACACCGGGGCGCTTAGGACACCGGGGCGTCGCCTCCAAAGCCTCATGTTTTACAATAACTTGTAGGGTTTCGATGAGATGTTGTGGGGCTTTTCCGTTAGTGGTTGTTAGTTGCAACACTCCTTTATTGAGGGGTTGGGGATGTAATTTGCATGGTTTTTCCAAACCGTCCATGCAGCAAAGCAGGGAACATCGTTTTTCCGACCCATTTTGGGTGTGGTGTGGGTGGGTATGCACATAGATGGAAGTCATGCGGTTGTTTTCTGAATTGCTATGCTTGGCTGGTTCTGTCAATGTCAAAGATGTCAAAGAAGACATTCTTTGCTTTTCACGAAGGGCCTTGGTTGGCGTCATTGTCTGGTTTTGCCACAGGCTGTTTTGAACGTTGAGTTGTAAGGGGACTGTATGATACTGTATGTACGTTGGACCACCAATATTTTTGACTACCCCGTGTTTGGAAGCTTGCAGTGTTGGACCGTTCATGCCGCACCCCGGAGCAGCGCCGAATTTGTGAGATAGAACAAGTCATCCGAGGCAACACACATGTCACATGTCAAATCACACAGGCTTTGTGAACTTTGGAGGCCATTGCTATTAGGTTGGAGGCCATCGCTACTAGGTGAAGCCCTCTCAAGGTGTTGATCCTCATGGGGCTAGCATCTGAGGTGAATGGGACTTTAGACCAAGTCTTGCAGGTTTTCTTGATTGACAATATTTTCCCAGAGCAAAGGACGCTTCTTCTTAGCCGCAAAGAGATGCTTTCATGGTTGGGAACTGCTATAGGGCCCTTGGTCGCTTTGCTCCTAGTGAATCTGCACACGGATACAGGTTGGTCAGTTCCTCTGTTGCAAAATGTTCTCAGTGCCGGCTTCGTTGGGTATCTCTTGGTTGAGCCGGCGGTGTTTCTGTTGCGTCCGACACGTGCGCCAACTTGCAGTGATCCTGCAAATTCACCCCTCTCGTTGCCCGACTGGACACAAGAAGTGAGGTGTGGAGTTCGAAAGCAGTGGCTTGTGCCCATATGGACCGAAATTATGTGGGGAGGTACGCAAATTGCTGGATCAATGAGCTTGAAATATGTTCCGCTTTTCTTTCGGAAAGACTTTGCCATGACGCCCTCCTGGCTGATGGTCCTTCGTGTAGCAGAGAACTGCTCACTGGCAACGATGAATTGGGCGACTCCTTTCATTTCCAGCAAACTCGGACGTGCTTGGGCCGCAATACTTTTCATTTTTGCCGGAGGTGCTTTGATGCTCGGCGTTGCAAATTTGGGTATAGCATGGCTTGCTGCCACGTTATTCATCCTCCGAACAACCTTTGCAAGAGCCAACGTGCCTTGTGTCCAATCCATCATTTTCGAGTCAGTGCTTCCTCGCCATCGTGGTCGCTGGACAGTCACTTGTTGGCAAGTCTTGGCAAGGTATTGTAGTGTGATGGATGTCATCCTTCACTTCCTAAGATGACCCATGATGACCCTCAAAAAACAAGAGAGGTTAAAACACATATCTCTTTTTATCTCTTTTGGACGATCCGTTTTTTGATGTTTTCGCACCACATTGTGCCAGCCACTACTGGAACACCTCTGCTTTTTGAGATATATAAAAGAAAGCCAGGCCATCACCTCCTTCAAGTCAGCTACAAATGGGGCCGGTGCTTGGGTCGGTGGCTACCTCGCAGATCTCACGGGGGATTACCGAGCCGGCTTCTCCTTAACCGCTGGTGTCCATATGTTGTGTGCTATGTTGTACGTGCCCGTGGCTTTCATGGTTCCACCGTAGTGGGTTGAGTGACTTCAATCTCACCGTGTGTGAGGAGAATTCTCAGCAAGTTATGAAGTCGGCGCAAAAATGGTGTGAGAAGTGAAGTGTAGATCAGTATAAATCAGTGATGTTTGGCAGACACTTTGGCGTCAGGTGAGGATGACCCATCTGAGGCCTCAAGACACACTGTCCTGCACTTAAGCTGATGGCTTCAGATGTCTCTTTGCACCATGCCTTGGAAGACCAACCGACATCAACCTACTAGAGAAGGCCTCCAACCTAATAGCGGCCTCGTTACTAGCAGTAAGGCCCGGAGCTACTAGTAGCTTCTTGCTCCTAGTAGCGATGCCCCTTGTTCCTAGTAGCGATAGCCTCCAACAATGTTTCGATGTATTTCGACGCCAGGAGGACTGGCATGGCTGCGACTTGCCAGGCCCTCAGCGTGGCTCAGCACTGGTCGTAAGTCCGAGAGGCCACTGCAAGGGGAGTGGTGTCCACATGGTCCTGGCTGCCACGAGTGCGGTGTGCAGTGCTGGTTCTGGTTCGTCCCACTGCCGACGATGGTGTCTTCTGAGGCAGGGTCCGTCAAGGCCCTCCTCTGCGGGCAGAAGGCCGCCTCTATCTTAGAAACCAGAGCAACTCTGTCCAGTGTCCAAGACATTCGCTGGAAACACCTTGCTTAACGTTTAAAGCATCCCAGGTGGATACCACCTGGTGTTCCAAAGGCCCACTGGCTGCCGACTTCAGTTGTTTCATTTTTGGCTTATCCATTTTGACGGCCAGCTTTGTTGATGGCATGGTTGAACGACTTTTGTACTCTTCCGCTGTGCAGACCTTCTGAGATTCTGCTCAAAAAAGCTCTCGAATCTATTCGCGCCTAAGCCAAGCCTATACAAGTAGCAACTACAGGTGTTTGCTCTGATCTGTATCCTGCAAGCACCAAGAGTGATGCAAATCCCAGAGGTTCCCAATCATCCCTTGGACAGCATGGATGCTTTGTGCCAAGCTGTGAATTAACTTACAGACGTGACTGCTTGAAGAATGATACGGCACAACGGCGCAGGCAGCACTTGACACATGTAACTGTGGTCCAAACCACTTGCGGACTGCTTGCACAGCGACAAAAACAGAGTGACAGTCTGGTTTGACATGTTCTGGCTGAGTCTTAAAGCAAGCATGTTAGCTAAGCAGCTAAGCTTTGGTTGTTTCGGCCCGTGATGAGCGCCGCCGCCTCATGCAGCGTGACAAAGAGGTCCTCATTGCACAAGTTGACAGATGATTTCTGTGAAAGTTTGAGGTGTAATTATATATATATAATATTATATAATGATATTCAATAAGAACAAGAACAAAATAGAACATAACACAATATCTTTATTGTAGAAGTAATGTCGCGGGTCGTGAGGAGAGTTTGCATGTCAATCATGCAATATCATTTCATGTAATACATTTGGTTCTTTTTCAGCTTGCAAGCGGAAGACGTGCAGGATGACACCGTACAATCTACAATATTTATTCTGACACTTACTGCAGTATTGTCAAATAGATTAGACTTGTATTATCTTGTATTTGAATGTATTTTAGCTTTGCATTGCTGACTGAGCTATACAAACAACCCCTGCAGTCCTGGAGCGTCCCCAGACGTTGCGAGGCACCAGGAATTCATGAGCTCGCGCGCCTCACGAGCTGAGCTTAGTTTATAATTGATTACTCGTTAAGTTCCTCCATCTCAACTGACAGTTTTCTTGGCCTCGGTCGCACAATGGCAGTCGTGTTTGCAGATCTTTCGTGCAGTTCTGCAATGTCCACTTTATCACTTTGCCGGTCCAGGCGGTTCTTGTTGGATACAGGCAAAGTCGAGGACAGCTCTTGCGCCTTGGCCCAAACTCTATGCAGAGATGCTCCGGACCTGTTTAAGAGGACCTTGCAGAGATGCTCCAGACAGTGTGCCCATCTGCGAGCAGGAGCCAATGCATCCAATGGCTGTGAGCATTCACAAGCCTTGAGCAGTTTTTGTTCGATATTTAAACTAGCAGCAATGGAAGTGGGGCCATACCAGACGCGAGGCCGCTAAGGGTAGCATGCTGATCAAATGGCAGGAAAACCCTGCTGGCGCACTTGCTTGTGTCGTCGACCGCATCATCCTTGCAGCAGGTGGTGCTAGAACGCAAGCGTTTCTTTCAGATTGGACACCTTTTGGTGCAGATGGACGTCTTATCATTGTTTGCAATCGTCTTTTCAAGCAACTTTGCACTTGTGAGACTTGCGACTGTTTCATGTGGTGAGCCATAATATGGAGACATGTTGCCAGATGCTTGGAATGCTCCATACAGATCCGGTAACAGCCGGAGAGGTGCAGACTGAGATGTGGGTCTCAGACTGAAGTGACATGATGTGACAGCCCAGATCCTGGTGCAAGTCATTGCGCACATCGAGGGGGAATGTCCCATCCAGCTGCGTGAGCGAATGGCTGAGCCATACACAGCCACACGTCACACAACACCAAGAACCGACTGAGCGAATGAGGGAATCAGTTAAGACATGTTAAGACACGTTGAGAACACATGGGATTCCTTGACTAGAGTGTCGAAATCTCGGGAGAGGTTTTGTATTGGCAGTATATTCAAGCATACTCCATTGATTTCCATTGCATTCCTGAGGCACGCAGATGGAAGCTTTTCTTTGACAGATGAAAAGACCGTGCAGGCCCGCGACGTGTCTAAACCTCTTCATCAGGTACATAATAACACAAGCATAGAATAGCATAGAATAGGCATAGAATTATATATATATAGAGATCAAAAGATTTGCCGATTGATTGCAACTTGTCTCAATCAATGTACCCCCAAGTTTTGATGTTTGCAGGGAACTATTTCCAAAGTTGTCTCCTTGGATGTTGGCGACACGTGTGAGAAGTACGCTGCAGATCTGGGTCGGCCAGCTCAGTCTTTTGTTTTGTGGGGAATGGCACAAACGAACTTGCTCCAGCAGCTCGTTTCTCTATATAGATCTGCCTCAGCTCAGGGCGCTTCCTAAGATAGGTCCACCAAAACGTTCCATGTATAAAAGGAATCTAAACAACACAACTATCCAGGAATGTCAGGCCTGAATGCTACTGTAAAAGCGGCTGGTCAAAACAGAACGCAAGTCCGCTTGAACAATAAATGAAGAAAAGCCGGCAAAACAAACTCTTGATGTTCAAACAGGACTCCAACAGTCTGTCAGAAGCACTTCAAAAACGCCCAGTTCGCTTGGGAGTGCAGCTCCCTTTGTGGACTTCCAGAGATATGGATGCCGCCTCAGCCTCTTGCGACTTGGTCATGTCCGATGGACGGCATGTCGTTTTCCTTGCCTTCCTAGGCTCGCTTCTCATCCTCGCCCAATTTGCAAGAGAAGGCAGCTCAGACCTGGACAGTTCCAATGTGCTAGAACGAAGGGCATCGCTACTATTTGCAAGGACGCTACTAGTAGCTCCTGGCCTTACTACTAGGAGCAAGAAGCTACTAGTAACAAAGGGCATTGCTACTAGTAGCGTCCTTGCTCCTAGTTCCAATATGTTCCAATGATATCACTTGAGATGCAGACATGATGAAGGCATTGGCACAGGTCTTGTGGGTCACGACTCTGCACGACAAATTCATACTGCAACATAGAGATATAGTATTGTGGAGAACATACAGCACGGACCGTGGATGATGACTTTCTTTGGTTGGTTGGAGAGCTGAACTTATCTGAAACTACTGTATAACTACTAACCCTGCTTGACCATTGGACTGAATGCAGGTAGTGAACTGGTTCGTGGCTCGCCCGGCAATGTTTATCAGCAAAATCAAATTCTTTGCTGTTGAATTCTCACACAAATTCTCACTCTTTGCTGATTTGGATATCGCCAGGCCTCTTTGTCAGACCAGTTGCTGGTCCTTTTGCAAGGCCTTTTCTCAGGGATACTGTACCTAAGTAAGGGGTGGGGCCACCACTGTGTTCATACAGCAAATCCGCCAACCATGCCCCAGCTGGTCAAGCAGCATCGGGAGCGAAAAAATGAAAGGTGTAGAAAAAGCGATCGAAACACACCGGTCACCGTGCAGTGTGCAGTGTGCATACCAACATCCAATGTTCTGCGGAGGCTGCTGCCTAGTGATCAATCTTCATGCAGCCGTTGAGCCCGGGGCCTTTTTAGAGTGAACAATACAGTATCATCTATGGTCTATGGTCATGGTTGCGTTTCATTTCTGAAGCATCACAACAACAACTTACACATATTGTGTCGAGGCCAAATACCTCGCCTATGACTTGTGCTCAGATTGTCGCGGAATCTCTGGCTGATGCAGAGGCATTTGCAGTGTTCCAGTTCGACCTCTAGAGTGTCAAAACGCAGTGCAGTAAGCCATTTTCCTCATCAACTATAATTGGCTTCTCCAGGTGTTCCGAGACTGCCTCTTGATGACCACATCCCTCCTCCAGGTGAGTCCGAGTTGAGGATCAGATGAAAAAGACAAAGGTTACCACTTAGACTAGACTATATAATTATATATATATAGTTTGTTTTGGTAATCACAAGAACAGCCCATTGCCTGCGATCGCCTGTCATTGCCTAGGGCCTAGGCCTAGACTCTGCAGAGGAGACTTAGCACATCAGACCAACTGCAAGTTTGTTGAACATTCTTGAATCATGTCATGTAGAAACACAGGGCTTTTCGCAAAGCTGTGACTCCTGTATACACGTGCTTTAAACCTTGCAAGAGTGCAGACATCTGACGGACATTCTGGTGTTGCGACTGCAGTCTCGCAAGTGCGTGGAATCCCTCATTTGGGACCTGGCGCAGCCGAAGTGGTATTCTCAGCGGCGAAGAATCGATGAAGCATTGTGATTTGAACACCGATTTGTACAAAAATATTTGTATAGTTATATTCACACACGTACATGTATTCTGATTCTCCTTAGCTTCAGGTTGAGAGGAGAAACCGTGCTTCACGCCCACGAGCGGCCAACGCCTGAGTGACGATGGGAAGCGACCCAACCTCCGTGACGACGCATGGCTGCACTGTGAGGTTCGGATGCATCCTAGGCGGGGCATTGGAGGCACAAGCCGTACACGTTTGTTCATCATCCCTCATCCCTGGACAATGTTTGTCTCGATGATAAAGGAAATTTAACATTTAATGTTTTGACTATTCTGTTCACTCACGTGCAAACACAAAAGTGTGTCCTAAAGTCCTCCCTTGGTCGGTGCTTGTGCTGCAATGCATCGGACTGCTTTGCAGGCTCAAGTCAGGCATCACCAGCATGGCTTGTGGTTGGACATGGTTGGACACCATTGGGTCAGACATCGGCAGTTTCTGGCCAGGTATGTTGAAAGCATCAGACCACAGGCTCGCCTGCACAGCCTATGGCGACTTGGATCTGCCAAGCACCAAGGCTTCTAGTGTCACAGTGCAGTTGCAAGAGCGATGACAGTCCTAATAGGAAAAGGAACCTACTAGCAATGGCCTCCAACCTAAGAGCGATGGCCCAAGGAGAGAGCACAGTCGAGAGTTCTTCTTCGCCCAAGGTTGTGCTAACATGGCGCTACATGATCCAGTGGTGTTGTGGGGATGAAGACCAGGCAACTGGCGCTTTTCGGTTTGGGACTGTAAATGTCGGACTTCGACCGCTTGACTTTGGCCTCGCTTAAAACGTCTTCAACGCACTTCTTCGCACTTTGGCTTCGCATCACGATGCGCGGAAGCATCGTACTGGTGCCTCAGTTCCTCGCATTTCTGGCCCAGCCTTGCAGCTACAATTCGTGGAAGCCCTTCAGCTGCAGTGTGTCTTCGCACTCCGAACGCATGCGTGTCTTTCATGGTTCTTCAGTCAATCGAAACCAAAAGAAAATGGGACGAGTGACACAAGCGCCGCACTCACTTAGGCCAGGATACTCTTCAAAGACTTTGGCACAGGTGCAGCATCAAAACATTCACTTCACTGCGACAGAAGCTTTGACCAATCCAAAGCAACAAAGGAAGACATCTCTGATGAAGTCACAGGAAACTACTTGCTGTCGTCTACAGCATCACTTTTGTCAGGCATTCCATGGCAAAGTCATATGTCCCATGATCGATGAAGAGCAACGTGTGCGCTCCTCAGAGAGAAGCAGAACACATTTGACTGATGCCGTTTGCTTGAAATTGAAGTAGTATGTCAGTAGTGCATTGAATGGTTCACCTTGCAGGCCTGGTGTGAAGTTGCAGAACGTGCCGCGAACGAGGCAACCTCAACAGGGCGTTCAAAGCACCGTCGTTCGGAAAGGCGGAACACCTCCTGGTCCGACCTCCATGTCTTGTGGACTAGGCTATGGCGGAGCTTCTCGCTGAGCCTGATCACCCTTCTGGAAGTAAGCGCAAGGTACGGATACTGTAAATCATGATACAGTAAATCACAGCATGCGAGACCTGTACTGTTGTAGATTCAGAATAGTTGTGGAGGGCCGGTGCAGACTTACATCAGCTCGTGACCGTTAAGAGGTATGGTCCGGAGGTCGGACTGAATGGTGGTGGGGTAACTAAATTACTGCACTCTCTTGTATGTGACAGGCGAAGGGAAAAAAGAAATCCGATGCAGGCTGGGTGATAAGACAGCTCTATCCAGGGCTTGGGCTCCTGGATAGATGCCCTTGTTTACTCCAGTCTCAAGCAGTCTCGGATGCATATTGAATTGAATTGTTTTCCAACAGAGAGGACCATGAAAAAGCTGGGGAACCAGTTGAATCATGTTGAATTACAAAGAACGTTGCAAGGCATGGCATGCTGTTTGATAAGTGGACACTGGACTGCCGGGCAATGGTCCGCCAGGTGGCCCCAATGGGCACGTGCAAAGGGCCAAGTGTTTTCCTGACAGAAAATGAGTACTCGTTACTAGCGTCCTTGCCCCTAGTAGCGATACCAGGAGCCCCTAGTAGCGTCCTTATTCCTAGTATTAGTAGCGTTGCCCTTTGCTCCTAGTTCTCTCAACTCAGACCGAGGCCCAAACACGAGGATGGAGAAGCAACTCGAAGTCACACTCCGCGGAAGGGTTTGGTTATGTTTCGAGAGTTTCTTTAAAGTGCTGCACTCGCAGCACTTGTTCGATTCCCTTGTAGAATGGCTTTCATATTCATATGCTTTCATTCTGCCGGATCTCAAAGGAACAGGGGGAGTATACCAAAAACCTAGAAGTTCAAGCATCAAGGTTCAACTTTTACAAGTTTGGTCAATTTTGTACATTTGTGTACCTTTGGACCGGGTCAAACAGATTGTTCTGATTGTTCGACATGAGGGAGACGAGCCCGCCCCTATGCCGGCGGAGTGGCGCCTCATCCAGTCCTGGCAGCGCCTTACAGCTCAGCTCCTCATGGTGCCCAGCTCGCAGTTCGATGAATTGCAAGAGGAAGAGTTGAAGCGTCCTTTTGTTCGCCGTTTCAGATGAAGAGAAAAGACCTTTTCAGAAGGACTAGTCTAGATCTGTTAGTTTCTTGCTTTGGTCTAGGTGAAAATGTGTTCGATTTCCCATGTTGTTCCCCAGATCCTCAAAATCTTAGAATGCCAGAGCTCCGTGCTGTGCAGATGGAGTGCGGCTCGCCAAGAGACCACTGAGGGGTGAGAAGACTTCCTGCGCAGCGAAAAAGAATATTGATGACCCTTCCACCTTTGCATGGAGTAAGTTTGCAAAGGTCAAGAGTCTTGAACAAAAGAGTGATTGATGATGATTGATGGATTATATTGCATCATGCTGTTGTTGGTGGCAATTTGACCCGCTCGCAGTGCTTGGAGCCTGCACCCTTGCTTTCAAATCCGACTCCGAGCCCTGAAAGAAGGCTGGGACCAGGACAAGCTAGATATTAATTATCACACTGCAGACTGCAGGACACTGCCATTGAACTTGTTTGACATGTGCGAACTTGAGAATGGTGACAGAGAACATCAAGCTAGAAGGTGGAGGCCATCGCTATTGGGTTGGAGGCCACTACTACTAGGAACAAGAAGCTAATAGGTGGAGGCCATCGCTACTAGGTTGGAGGCCGCTACTGCAAGGAACAAGAAGCTACAAGGAACAAGAAGCTAGTAGGTGGAGGCCATCGCTATTAGGTTGGAGGCCACTACTACCAGGAACAAGAAGCTACTAGGAACAAGAAGCTAGTAGGTGGAGGCCATCGCTATGAGGTTGGAGGTCACTACTACTAGGAACAAGAAGAAGGTGGAGGCCATCGCTATTGGGTTGGAGGCCACTACTACAAGGAACAAGAAGCAAATAGGTGGAGGCCATCGCTACTAGGTTGGAGGCCGCTACTACAAGGAACAAGAAGCTACAAGGAACAAGAAGCAGGTGGAGGCCATGGCTATTGGGTTGGAGGCCAGTACTACAAGGAACAAGAAGCTACTAGGAACAAGAAGCAGGTGGAGGGCCATCGCTATTGGGTTGGAGGCCACTACTACTAGGAACAAGAAGCTACTAGGAACAAGAAGCAGGTGGAGGCCATCGCTATTGGGTTGGAGGCTACTACTACTAGGAACAAGAAGCTACTAGGTACAAGAACAAGAAGCAGGTGGAGGCCATCGCTATTGGGTTGGAGGCCACTACTACAAGGAACAAGAAGCTA